ACCTTTCTCTATAATCTTCAAGCACAGTAAAGTAATAAAAAATGCTTATTTTACGAGGAAGTGGATTAAAAGCTGCAGCCAGCACATCATACAGCTCAGGCTTAATAATTATGCATTTTTTAGCTGCAGGAGTTTGTAACTAATTACCCCAAAATCTTCTTCCCTTAGCATAAAAAATTCAACGCCCAAAATCTTCTTTGCTTAACATAAAAAATTCAACACTTAATTTGATGCCAGATGCTAAAGAAAACATTTTCATGGGAATGGTAAAGTAAAAATGGGATTTTGGGTAGCTGAGAAGCTCTTAAATCTTCACCCAATTCACACGTTTCAGTGTAACTATGAACCCTAAACTTGCATTATTAACATTCATTAGAATGCAAAATTTCCATCCGTGCAATCTTGTTCAACAAAAGAAATAAATATGTGCACAGATTTTTGTGCAAAAGAAAACAAAATTCAACAGCCTCTGCAAAATGTACAAACATACCACCACTCAGATCTGCTATAAAAGATTTTGTACTTCGACCTTTGTTAATTCTTAAATCCCAAAAAAAAATTAGAAGGGCAAGGCAAAACAAATAGAAACCCAAAATCACCTCGAAACATTCTGAGAATCCCAGACAAGTTTTTCTTCCCCTTTTTCGTAATTTTCTGAGTTTTATATGGAGTTTGTCAAGAATGCTGAACTTGAGAGGCGAAGCCTGAGTTTTCTGTAATGTTGAAACTACGGTAACTGGACGCATTGGAGGGTGTTACAGGACTCCAACTGTGCTGCAGCAGCATTAAAAACACCATGCTTTTGTCAAAGATTTACTTACACAATTGGGAATTCAATTCACAGATCCAGTAGTAAAATGAAGACAGAAATTTGTGAGTTAAATTTGAGTTTCATGAGCTGGAAAAGAATGGAGAGAGAAAGTCAGTTGCGCCGATTCACTCAACTACTGACTGACAGTGAGAAGGAGCATCTAAGAGAGAGATAATGCTGTTCATTTCTTTATAGACATGCTTTCAAAGAGGAGTAATGTTGACGATGACCGTATGGACCAGATTGTAGTCTGAATTCGTAAATTGACTTTCCAGTATAATTTATTAACTTGTTACATATACGTCAAAATTTATATAATGAAAATTTATCATTTGTCAATTTAAAATACAATCAAGTTTTTCATTTAATCTTTTCTGTTCACATCATAATCATATTATGTACAAGAAGCAAAATTCTTTATTCAAAAATACTCAACTGTACATCATTCTTGACATTTGATGTATGATTAAAAATAAGAGCAATGCTAGATGTACACTTTTGTGTAGATCTAGTTTGACACTCCCCACACATGGGGGGTGGGCCCGCGATTTTAAAAATCACGGGCCCCACCTCCCAGGTGAGGGGAGTGTCAAACTTGTTGTATACAAAAGTGTACAACAAGAATTATCCTAAAAATAATTGGAGGAAAAATTTTTATACTATCCAATAGTATTTTGTCACGTGACAAATGTAAAGGATGATGTATATGTAGCATAATTGTAATTTATTTGGTTAATCTCAATATTTTAGCTTCATTTTAGAATAATTTATAAAAAAATATTCAATTTATTAGCAGATAAAATTAAGTGACGCATAAATGAATATTATTTATGAATTCACTAGGACGTGTGATTAGAAATAAAGCTTAATTGAAAGTACAAGTCGAAAAGCAACTAACGGAATCGAGATTCGATGGTGGTAAAAAAAATGAACAGGTGAGTTTTAGGAAGATGTTTTATAAAGTTTTAGCAAATATTGATAAATGTTGATGAAATTGTGATTTAAAAAGATAAAGGTTATGAATGTATAGTTAAAAAGTAAGAAAAAATTTTGATTTTAAGTGCAAAATATTTGATTGTGTGGTTGAAAATGAACTTGTAGAAGAAAAAAGTTTTTGGATAAGAATTCAAATTTATAATTTTTTAATATGCAAAAAAAAAAAATTTTAAAAAAAGGAAAGAAGAAAATCTACTATGAATAAGCTCTTGTTTGAGCCCCATTTTTCAATAAAACATTTTTCTTTAAATTCATTTTTAATCACATTTCTCGTAACAGAATAATTTTACACGTAAATTTAAATTTTTTCTACTTTTGAATCATGCATTTTTCAAAAAATTACTCTTCTAATATCTACTTTCACAAAAGAATGTCAAATCCACTCCCCCAACTAACACAACCCTAAGTCAAATTATATTCCCAAAATTTGAATAATTTTAGTGTCATTAAGTCTACTCCATTGACTTATTGAATCAATAGCGTTGGATCCTTCCATTAGTCAATTACAATCTCGTTTAATCCTTGCCTTTTTCTAAAATTTTTATTTTTCAAATACACATTTTATTGAATTATTTTTATCAATTTTCGATCATACATTTCATTAATTTTTAACAAAGTTTATTACAAAATTAATTTTTAACCAAACAGATGCTTAGTCTCTTTCTATCATTGTGCCCTTTTTTCTTCAGTTTTCTATTTGCCGTTTGTTAAAAGGATATAATTAATCGTGACAATGATATCACATATTTATAGTAAAAAATAAGCAAGTATGCATCATCCTTGACATTGATTGGAGGAAAAATTATTTAATTTTTTAAAATGTTCAATGGTGTTTTATCACGTTGCGAAATGTACATAATAATTTAAAAGATGATGTGTATTTAACATGATTGTAATTTTTTTGGTCAATCTCAATATTTTAGCTTTATTTTAGAATAATTTATGAAAAAGATATTTAATTTATAAGCAAATAAAAATAAGTGGTGTATGACTTAATATTATTTATGAATTCATTAGAACGAGTGATTAGAAATAAAGCTTAATTGAAATCTAAATTTTAACATAAATAAAAGTTGATAATTAATTTTAATAACATATTTCATGGAATCCATAAATGTTTAAATTTTATCAAAATTTACTAAAAATTGAATTTTAATTTCAATCAAATAGGGGCAAAATAATAATAAATTTGAATTTCGATAATATGCTAATTTTAAAAATTCTCCGACGATCGTACGCTAATCGAATCTACAAATTGCTTATGTCATCTCAAAACTTATTTCGAGAATTACATTATGGGTATATCGAATAGTCCAAACAGATATCGNATTATGGGCATATCGAATAATCCAAACAGATATCGAAAATAGTTAAAAATACGTTAAACGTGACTTTTAAAGAAAAACGTCTAATTTGTATTTTTTACAAAAAATTCAATTATTTCATTAACATTTATTATTTTTGCGATACAAATTTCTAAATGTAATTTTCATCATTTTATTAAGAAATTTTATATGAAATATAACATCAAAAATTTTCGAAATTTTACATCCGAAAAAGTTATAGTCTATGTAAATTTTCGAATACAAAATTACACAGGGTATGATTTTTTTGAATGTAAATTTTTTATTGTAAAATTTCTCTCAACTTATTTGCAAGTTTGACTGTGCCCTCTAACTTCAAAGTTCTGCGTCCGCCCCTAAAAATAATTTTATACTTAAATTTAAAACGTATTCTATTTTTTAATCACATATTTTTCAATAAAAATTACTCTTATAATATCTATTTTCACAAAAGAATGGAGTTCAAACAAGAGAAGTATTTATTTTAACGTTGGGACGAATGTCAATCCACTCCGCACCCAGCACAACCCCAAAGTCAAATTATATTCCTAACATTTGAATCTTTTTTTATAATTTTAGTGTCATTATTAAGTGTCTACTCTATTGACTTCTTGAATCAATAACGTTGGATCCTTCCATTACTCAATTACATTCTCGTTTAATCCTTGCCTTTTTCTAAAATTTATATTTTTCAAATACACATTTTATTGAATTATTTTTTTCAATTTTCGATCATACATTTCATCAATTTTTAAATAAAATTTATTGCAAAATTAATTTTTAACCTAACGAATGCTTAGTCTCTTTCTACCATTGTGCCCTTTTTCTTCTGTTTTCTATTTGCCGTTTGTTAAAAGGATATAATTAATCATGACAACGATATAACATATTTATAGTTAAAAAATATTCTTATACAAATTTAAATAAATAAATTCACCTAAATATATCAAAGTCGAATCAAAATTAGATTACGAAGATAATTATATAATGAAAATATGAAATAGTTTGAGTTGAATGAAACTTTCTTTTTCATTTTTGGGGTTATGTTTAACCACATTTTATTGTTATCGCATTAAAAATTTTCAAACTCTGCTTATTGTTGCACTTATATTTTCAACTTATTTTTATATTATTCTTATCATCAACACTTCACTAATTAGCACACCTCGTCCATGTGGCGGAGCAGTACTCGGCGAGCCTTTGCGGCCGTCCATGCTGTCTTCGTCGAAATTTCTTCCCTTATATTGAGTGATTATCCATGCTCACCTAAACTCGTCCGTACTTACTTTAATTTCTAGATCTGCCACTACTTATCCATGATAATAGTTTCAATTCAAAAAGTTCGTTAAGAGGGCATAAAAAATTATTTGCAAATCATATTTTTGAATAAGAAAAAAAAATAACAAATACAAAAGTGTGACATAATACCGTTTATTTCATAGTGCCCATCAAATTGAAACATATGGTGCAATTAATTAAAAAGAATCGCAACAAAAGAAAAATATTTCGTGTTGTTTTTTTTTTTTTTGCTCAAAATTCTTTGAATTTGAGCATATGACAACAATGCAACCAAGTAATTCCTAGTTACAATATATTTAAGTTTTTCTCACCAATCCATTAGGTTTCATTTTAAGATTTTCTTGAACTTTCAAAGTAAATAAATTCTTAACTATTACAACAAATAAGATTAGTTTTGGACAATCGTCTCTCTTATAATATATTTTATTGAGATCGTATTACTCTTATGAAGTATAACATTTTAGATTGTACACAAAAAATGTGACAACTACAACGCCGTTGTCTTAAATTTTACCAACTAATTTATGCCAATTAATATGCGATTCGGTGTCGACCAAAGTATCATCACATTTACTAATCTCTAAGAGCTGGTACATGAAGTAGTTGTTGGCCTTTAATTCTTTCACGGTCTACATACTCTCCTCGAGTGCTCATACAATGTTGATTTTAACGCTTTTATAATATGCTCCTTGTTTGGTGGGATTAAAATCAATTTTTCAATTTAAATTAATGTTAATAATTAATTTTAATTATGAATTCACAACTTTTCAATCATACAATTTATTAACTTTCATCACTAAAAATCCAATTTTTATTTAAACCAAACTGGGGCTACTTATGTAGTTGTAGCTGGCCGCGTTTGGCCGAACCATGGTTGACATCGACTAATAAAAGTCCACGTAGTGTTCGTCTTTTTATATGGAATGAAAAAATTGTTAATCGAATAATTTATTATCATGAACCCATGTCGTAAGCTCCTAGTTTTGAGAGGAGTTAGGACTCTGAACGTGAGTTTGTAAAAGAATGAGTTGTCAACTCATAGAGAGTGACTCCCATCAAATTTGGGATCGTTCTCAGGGACGGATCTAGAATTGAATTAAAAAAAATCTAAGCCAACCTAATATGTAAAAAAACATAAAAAAATTACTTGAAAAAACAGT